TTTTTGGGCCACTTTTCCAGCCGTGAGTTACAAAAAATGTTTCATGAATCTGTGCAAAGTTAGATTCTCTAATTGAGGCCAAACTCTTGAATTTCAAAACTTGGGGTTCATCAGGATTTTCCCTGAAAAAAAAATATTATTACTAAATCCATAATATTGCTAGTAAACGAATAAGAACTTTCGTTGTGAGTTCTGCTTGTTTTTCAGAATTATCTTGCATAGTAAATGTAATTTTAAGGAATTTTGAAGTTTACCTAGTATATAGAAGGAAATTCATATGTTTGTTGACATTAAATTTAATTTGTGGTTGGTATTTGTCCTCCTTGAGATGGATCAGATGTAATTTTCCTTCACCATCAGGAAACATCATATATTCTTTATCGTTTGCATAGTCCTCGGCAAGCCCAATTGCATTACCTAAAAATGGTACAAAAAATTATCACTTTTAATCAAGGATACATAATCAAAACAAGTTCTAAAATGTAACAAAATATATTAAATTTTTAGTACGAAATATTTGTATACCTTGAATCCCTACAAACAATGCCACAAATAAAATGCTCACACGGAACATTTTGTTTATTTGCGTATTTGCTGATTTGTTTATTACCGTAAAGTTCAATTAATTGCGCTTCAATAAAGTTCAATGCAAAGATCTTTATTTTATATTGAATTAAAATAAAAAAATATAAAACTAATATTATAATTGAGTAGATAAATTTAGATAACAACAATAAGACAATGATAATGGTAGCAGTACAATACACTTATTTTAATTAATAATCAAAGACAAATATAGAATAGGTGCTGGTGTAAAATTTCTTCAAATCGATTTTATGACTCTCTATCATTATATCCATAAATTATAATATAACAATAAATCAGCTGCATTTTCAAATTGAAATGCTATTTGAAATTGATTCTATTATTTTTGACGATAATATAAAAATTGATATTTTTACAAAAATCTAAATACTTTTCGTAGAAAATATGTATGCATTTGTATTAAGCCTAATATTAATCTAATAAATTTCAAGCATAATATGAGATAAGTAGATGGATAAGATACCAGTGCACATGAACTAATTGTTATTTTTTTTTTTCTTAAGTGGAACTACTTACAATTTCAAGAATTTTCTGAAGTTTCTGGGATAGATTCTGACGCATTAAATCACTTATAAAAGCGTAATTGACTCTCTTCATAAATCGAATTTAGATTATGTTAAAAGCCTCTAATTGCAATCTATTTATTAATATTTAATATACAGATTTTTTTAGCGTGTCAATGTAACATTTGGTTCAAAATTGTACATGCATTGCATATGTTTGCAATGCTTTAAATTTCCAACAAATAATTTCTACCAACATTGAAGCTCGCGATTCAGAATCCTGTACCCCTGTGCCGTAATCCGTTCTTGAAAGCTTCCAATTTGCATACGGACTTACCTTTGGCACGGATTTCAAAACGTATATAATTTTCAAATATAAAATTTTACGGTTTATTAAAGAGGGCGTGCACCATCAAGTGTTTCACCGATTTTTCGAATCTTTATTACTTCGTGAGCATTTTGTGCGAGTTATCATTAGTTTTCGCAATATGTTGCAATACACGGAGCACGAAGCACGCACCATTCCGCATTTCGTTGGTTGGGGGTTGATATCTCTCGATCTACTCGGATGACCCAGGCACTGGCAGGCGCTCGTGAGGTGCGTGACGGCCGCACGGAGGGCGTCACGCCTTCGAGAGCCAACGGGCAACGCGCCGATCGAGGAGACTCCGACGCATCGCAGGGAAGGGAAACCAAAGACTAGTAATAGTAATAGTAAGCCTTTGATTAACAGCAATTAATTTACTTGAATATCATGTTTTGTGTTTAATTCTTGATTAAGAGAAATCTCAGTATTATCGGCTAAATGTAAAAATCTAAAACGTGCATATTTCAAGAAATTCAAAGCAATAACGTCAGTTTCCTTAACCAGTAATCATTTTTATATGATGTTAGAAGTTTATAAAATAATAATCAATTGTTTTTCTTTAATCCTGTATAAAAATAGCGTACAATATTTTTACCAAGTGCATTAATATTTTGATTTATCATTATTATATTTATCTTATAAGTAATAAGTAAAAGTCAAAGTTAATACTAGTTAGTTCTGCAGATGGCAACGCAAGGAGTAGTTTCATCTGTGTGATAAAATTATTATTACAAATTCTCTAATACCAGATTAAGACTATATACTTGGAAACATATTGCTATCTATGTTTTTAAGTAAAAACCGCTACTACTACAGCTTGACTATTTTTTATTTTTTTTTTATATTTTCAATAATTATTACAACTGCTAAATTATTAACATCAAGTAATATTGATAAATAATAACATAAATTTAAATAAATAAAAGTGCAAAGGATAAAATTTACATGAAAATAATATCCGTAATATGATTTGATATAAAATATAAGCAAATAATAATAAAAATAAAATTAATAAATAATATAAATAAAATTTCTGAATGATAAAATAATACTAGAAAAATAATAAAATATAACAAAATAACAATAATAGAAATAGTAAGATAATAATAATAATAATAACAATAATAATAATAATAATAATAATAATAATAATAATAATAATTTAAAAATTTGTGAGATCGTTTGGAATTTTTCGTTTTAGCCTTGTTAGGCGCGCTTCTGAGTATACTTTGTGTGCCAAGTAATTTGGGTGTTCGTCTATTCTTTTTTGTAGTTGCTTGTTTTTTGTTGAATTTCTTCATTTACTGTCATTATGTTGCTGTCCTGGTGAATCAACCAGTTGGGAACGTACCTAGGTGCGTTCAGTGCCTGCCTTATGATCTTGACTATTTAATTCAAAATCAGGGTTAATACCGGTCAGTTCTACAGATAGTAAAGCAAATAGTTGTCTTATTTCTGTGTGATGCATTCTTATTACAATTTCTGTAGTAAGGCGAATATCTATTGATGAAGCGACACCAGATCAAGACTATTTTTACTTGGAAACATATTTCTATCTATATTTCCAAGTAAAAACCGTTGCCACTACTGCTTGACAACAGAGTGGAGCCCAGGACCTCTGATTCAGGTCTAGTCGTTCTTTTGACTTAACTACGAGCGAGCCAGATTAATAATGAATTAGATATTTGTTCTTTGCTTGAATTTTTTATTTCGCTTTCAGAAGGTATAATTGGTTCGCATTCCCTGCCATTCGTTTGGCTTCAAGACGAACCCGCAATCTGTATGCCACGACCCGAGCAAGGGCAAGAAGTCCAGCGCTCCGGCATCGGCACCGGGCTATTTATTTTGCTTATTATTTCATTTTACGCGAGTAAAAATATTTTCCCATGATTTTGAGATCTCCTCGCTTATCTTTCGCACTTCTTTGGCTCAGGCTCTGCCGGCCTGAGTGTTGGGCGATCCCACCGCAATGTTCTTTTTCGTATAAGCCATATACGCGCGCACTTATGTCTGCTCATTGTTTAGTCTTGAAATTATATAGTTTGTTACTGACGGCACGTTGTTATTTGTAATGCCGGATGCGTTGTTCTTGAATTTGAGCTATTTCGTCTCATTTTCTTGATTTACGTCTAATGATTTATGTGATGCTTTGTTGTTGAGTTGGTTAGTGTTTATGTACTAGATCCGCGCGAACTATGTGATTATGTACTTCACATAAATTTCATTATTCAAAATACCTTACTGATCGATAAATGATTGCAGATTAGCTTACAGCTTTTGTAAGATAAAATAAATTAAATTGCAGAGTCCGTCGTGCATGATAGGATTAGACATTTAGCACAACTCTTTGAGGAGAAACATCAGCACTTACTAATTTTTAACTTCCCGTAGGGTAAGTTATTGTAATGGGCCAAAAATCGGAATTGAAAATTTTTCATATCTCGAAGTTTTGAAGGTTTCTGAACATTTTGGCATACCTCAGAAAAAATGGATGTGTGTGTGTATGTATGTATGGATACAAATTTCCAGTCACGTTTTCGGGCGCACGGATCAACCGATTTGAATGGTTCAAGAAACATTCGATTGCTATTGATAGGGAAAAGAGCTGATTAGTTTTTAGCAAAGGCAGTTCCAGCCGTTTCGGAGATACGGAGCAAAGAGTGCAGAAAATAGAAATCGACTTTTTGAGAGAACTTAGTATCCGATTTGAATGATCTAAAAAACATTCAATTAGTAATGATTGGAAAAAGTGTTTTTGGCTAAGGCAGGCCCAGCCATTTCGAAGATACGGAGCTAAATATGTAAAAAATGGCAGTTTTTGAGAGAACTAAGCGTCCGATTTAAATGATTCAAAGAACTTTCTGCTTGTCTTAACAAAGTAATTGGAAAAAAAAATTTTGTTTTAACTTTTTTTTTTTAATATTTTGTATATCGAAAATAATTCAGATTTTATTTTTAATTCTGACTATAGTTCTAATATACTTTACAAATAATTTCAACTTTGCAATTCAGTTTATATAATTCTTATAAATATTAGACAATGTTACAATATTTATAATATAATAATATCTATTTGAAAACATTCAGTATTCCTCGAACATTTCGTTACGGTACAGGAAGTTCCAGCAATTTGCCTTAAGGCACGATGCCATAATTGTCTCAAGACAGAATTCCACTTACAGCTAGTTAATTAAATAATGAGGTAAAATTACAAATCAAATGATATTTATAGTTTTTAGGACATATTTCAAGGAATTTCTTATAATATGTCTCTAGCAGATTTGCTTTACTAATTATGAACGTATATTTTTTATTCAAAACATTAAAAGCATTTAATTAAAATACCCTCTATTCAAAAACATAGTTTATCTATTACTATAACTTTTGTTCCCATAGCAACGGAAAGTCCCTCGAAGTTCCCTCAGGCTCACGTGGACCTGACTGTTTTGCACCATACATCACAGTAATGGTTTTGCAATAAATTCCATTCCCGAGGAATCAGCAATGACTTTTCTATTCGTGCGATGTCGAACAATTCGTATCCTTTCGAAAGAGCATTGATACGATGCAGTGGCGAAGACAAACGGCGTGTTATGTCAGCGAATATCGATGGGTACGGAGTTCGCGTCCGCCAGCGGGCTGATGCGGGTGTGAGGACGCCGCGCGATTGCCGAGACCGATGTGGCGGTGTGGGCGTCCCGTTAGGGTCTGTCTGAATGAAGGCCAATTTGTGGAAATAATAATCAGGTTGTGATATAAAGCTGAGCGTAAATTAATGGTCGTGCATAAGAAATAAATGTTTGAACATCTTTTATATTTATCGAAGAACGCTATATTCGATCGTTTCATCAACATTGCAAGGTTTTTTTTCGATTTACATTTCAGTTTCAGTATCCAATTTAAATAATTACAAATATCTGAAAAAGTGTTGAATGAATTAATATTTTTACATTATTGGCCTAGAGATTCAATGTGTCATTTACCCATCATAATTACTTTATTTATTATTAACATACATTTCTATATCCTTTTACATGTCAATCTATTGATTGTTATACATCATATTCAGTAGTGTTGTGCTAATATTTTTTTGCCGGAACGCTAAAATTAAAAAAAACGGTTCAAAAAACGGTTTGCATGTTTCCATTTTGTGCACATATATGTATGTTTATTACTATAATAGGAATGTTTAATAAAAATTAGTTAAATTATAATTTATAAAATTCACTTGTTAAATCGGTTTCTGTATGTAGCGCTTTTTTTAAAAAAAATTTGCCGGAACGGGTTCCTACAATTACAAGTAGGATAGGACGAGGTACAAGGTCCAATTTGACTTTTGACAATTATTTTGTGAAAACCAAACCCAATACATCACGACAAATACCATATATCAAACTAACAATTATCTGAAAAAATCAGTAAAAATCCTGAGGATTTTCAAAGATTACCTTTTATCAATCGACAGCAACTTTTTAAGAATAAAGGTGATAGCTGATTATATATTTTTTTCTCTACTTTTAAATATTGTTGTTGAAAAAATTCTTAACTCCACTTGTTCTTGAGATGTCGGTGGTAGACCTTTTTACCCGTGAACTTTTAAGCCCCGTTTTACCCTATATTATATCATTTCTTAAGATTAATAATATTCTCAATCCAATAAAATTTTTCTCCATATTATTTCTACCTTCTCTACCATTTCTATATATAGAAATAAATAAATAAATAAATTTCTATATATATTCAGTATTTCTTTTTTATATTATATATGAGTATAGAGAGCGCCAGGACTCGATCCGAGGATCTTTATTGCATTGAGAGCTGAAATAAAACATTTTCTAAAATAATACTTTATTCTACAATTCATTGTTTATAGTTAGCATTATTTATAACGAATGGAAAAACAACTGTTGAGTTGTTTTTCCAACATGTCGCTATAATATGCAATATCTCTATTATGGCTGGCAATTGTAAATTCAACAAATTTTTTGATTGTCCTTAACTGGACAGTTGTAAATTTAGTAGTTAATAAAAAAAAATTCTACAATGTCAAATCTACTTTAAATTGTAAAACGGTTTTACCATTATAAAATGGTGCGTAATGTGGAATACATTTTAAATTACGTGCACTCGGTCATTCATTTAGTTTAGGCTATTCAATATAATAATAAATCTTTGGAATTAGTAATAACAGATTATATAAATTATTACAATTCCGAATCAGATTGATGAATAATATTAAAATTCAGTACAACCTCGTTAAAACGATTATTATTTATACAATTTTCTACATAATACGCCACTTTACGTACTCGTATATAGGTGCCTGCACTAGTGCACTGTGATACGAATTTTTCCTAGTTCGCATAATACGCTTTCCCGCATGAAAAAATGTCTCCTAGAGATTTTATTGTAATAAGGTTGACCATACGTCCCGGATTGGCCTGGTCTCGATTTTCCGTCTTGCGTCCCAGCTTTTTCTAAAAGCAATATTTGGCTCGGTTCTAGGTGTTTTGTCCCGGATTTTTATGAATGTTTTGATTGCCAATATATTTTTAAACATATTTCAACTAAAAAAATTGAACCGAAAAAATGTGCATATAAGTTTTTAACTCACCAACACCCCCCTCTACCCCCGCGCTTTCACACACATTCTAATCCGTCCCGGATTTCATGCAAAAAATATGGTCATCTTAATTTTAAGTAGTATATAAATATTATGTGATATAAGGACCTCTATTTTAAACATATTAGCACAATATATTCAAATTTTTAATAAAATGTTGCTTTTTATAAGCCTATCCTTACTTTTTGCGTCAGAACGCACCCCGCACTGGCGCTCGGGAGCAAATCCACGCGATACCGCCGCGGGCCCTTGCGCCGGACTCAGGTCTCGGCGAGTCGCAGGCGTGGGAACGCGCGCGCTCTATAATTGTCTGACGTCCCGGCCTGAAACGCACGTCATAGCGAACTTTACCGATTTTGTTAATCCACAAATGAATATATTGCAAAAAGATGAAGTCTTTAATAGGCTTCATCGAGGAAAAAATTG